CTTGGACACCCCACAGAGGTCCCTTCCAACCCCTACCATTCTGTGATTCTGTGATTCTGTGATTCTGTGATTCTTTCTTGACTACTGTCTTGAGAAAGTGTGATCTGAGTATGATAGTTCCAAGCTTTAAACAAAACCTATATTCTGAAGGTACCCTAGAAACTTTTCTTACAGGAGTGCTCCATTTATCCAACATGATTGTAACACTTAGGAAGAGGTAGATGCTGCAAGCATCCATGCCCCTCTGTGCCGGGAATTACTTAGAAAAAATGTACAGGATTGCAGCATGGGAGAGGCACACAATAAGCTGCAGCTCTAAAAACAGTTTGGAGGGAGGACAAAATAATTTCTGGGGAATTTTTCAGAGAATCTTTCAAAGGAGAATGAAAATAGCCATATTTTTATACTGACTTTACAATCACCCAGAATGAAAGTGCTGCATTAAGCCCTCTTTTTCCCATGTCCTCTGTTGTTCCTTCAAAAATGAATGTCTTCTCCATAGGTCTGACAACAGATCCAGGATGAGCTAAGGCAGTGTCGATGAGGTTTGATTGTGTTGTGAGCAGACGTATCCAGCTTACTCCAGTCTGATCTGCTCAGGCAGCAACAGCAGCGGAGGGGCAGCTGCTGTCAATTCTGCACAGACAAGGAAAGGCGACGAGGATCCTGCGCCCTCACCCTGGCTGCTGATCCATGCTCACCCCTGAGGTGACTGCCCTACCTTAATGGCCCGACAAGAAAGCATGCTTAGGTACGCTGCTCAGTGCTGCTGCCATCATGCACGACTGGCACAGTTCTGTCTGGAGAGGACGTCATCAGTTGATAATGATAATGTTTTTTTAATCAGTAATTAAAGCCATTGTTATGATTTAAAGGGAATGCTTGATACACCAAAAAACCAAATACATCAACCGATATGTAAGTGACTCTCAGGTTAGCATGCCAGACGATGGGCAGGGAAAAGCTCTGAATAAATGGAATAAAGTTACTTCAGTAGGACTGGTATGTGCCTTATCCTGCTTAGCTGCTATACGATTTTCAGTTTTGCTGTCTTGCTTTCATTGCCAGTTTAAGCTTAAAAGTTTCATTTAATGGGCTCCATAGGCTATTCATGACGGATTTTGCTTGATGTACTCTGTAATCTTTATATTTCTAATCACGCTGTTCTTTCAAAGAAAGGAAGCAGAGCTTTTGCGGTGATACAAAGTATTTACCTCCACAATTTCCTAATCAACAAAAGCCTTTTGAAACCCACAATATTCTTTTCAGTGACTTCTATAGGATTTGGGTGTTTCTCTGTACTGAATATTTCAAGATTTTATAAAGGGCTTATTGCTGAAAGGTACATTTAGTTAAACATGTATTTTTCCAAATAAGTATATTATCAGTGTCCCCAGGACTATTTTTTTGGCATGAACAAATAAATACTGAAGCAATTGATTAAAAGTAATTTTAACAGCATGAAAAATAACAGTCCCTCAGAATGGAGCTCTTCAAAACCTTGACCTTAGCTGTTATTACATCTTTTCACAGAATCATAGAAACATAGAGGTTGGAAAAGACCTCTAAGATCATTAAGTCCAACCGTCAACCCAACACCACTGTGCCTGCTAAAACATGTCCTGAAGTGCCATATCTACAAGTTTTTTGAAAATCTCCAAGGATGGTGACTCCACCACCTACCTGGGCAGCCTGTTCCAGTGCCTGAGCACTCTTTCAGTAAAAAAAATTTTCCTAATGTCCAACCTAAACCTCCCCTGACGCAACTTGAGGCCACTGCCTCTTGTCCTATCGCTAGTTTCTTGGGAGAATAGACCAACACCTGCCTCACTACAACCTCCTCTAATTTTTTGCTAAGGTATCAGTCTACCTATATGAATAAGCAGCACAAACATTTCTATCATCCAGACACAGATGTGTACATGATGAGTTTTCTGTACTTCAGAAGGACTGGACTTTATATGTAATTAAAGTCACAGGATATCCGTATGATTTATAATACCAAAAGTACTCTGTTTATAAATGCAATTTTTTAACAGAGGTTGCTTTCACATTTTCATTCAAGGCCACTAGAGAATCTGAAAATGAACAGATGTGTAAAGAAAGAGTCTTAAATGCACACCCATTACAATCTGAATGATGGTGTTTATATCACACTGAAATTTCAGCATCTAAAACACTAAGTATACTAAATTTTGCACGATAATGAGAAAGGATGCAAGTACAGACAGAAGTTGGCTTTGGGTCACATTACTTTTTACAATTCTGCAATGAAAGACTAATAGACCAACATGATTGGAATTCACCAATTTTCTGGTGAATATTTAGCTCAATACTGCTCTCGATACATATTCAAATTAATTATGCTCATTATAGTACTGACACTCACTGGTATGCTCTTTCTATATCCTGAGTGCAGGTCTTGTATCATCAAATATCTATACTTATGAAGTGTTTTTTTGCTGGTAGTAATATACAATAAATCAGATTTACAACAGTAAGAATATACTTTATGTCTGTCTAATTCTGTAGCGAAAGCACAGCCCTGCCTCTGGTCATCCTCAGAGGGAAGAAGTTCTTCCTCGTGTTCAGACGGAACTTCCTGTGCCTCAGTTTGTGCCCATTGCCCCTTGTCCTGTCACTGGGCACCACTGAAAAGAGCTTGGCCCCATCCTCCTGACACCCACCCTTCAGATATTTGTAGGCATTTATTAGGTCCCCTCGCAGCCTTCTCTTCTTCAGGCTGAACAAGCCCAGTTCCCTCAACCTCTCCTCGTAGGGGAGATGCTCCAGTCCCCTCACCATCCTTGTAGCCCTCCGCTGGACTCTCTCCAGTAGCTCTTCATCCTTCTTCAACTGGGGAGCCCAGAACTGGACACAGTACTCCAGATGAGGCCTCACCAGGGCAGTGTAGAGGGGAAGGAGAACCTCCCTCGTCCTGCTGGCCACACTCTTCTTGATGCACCCCAGGATCCCATTGGCTTTCTTGGCAGCCAGGGCACACTGCTGGCTCATAGTTAACCTGTCGTCCACCAG